ACATTGATGAATAATTGGTAGAAATGCAATAAAATTTTAAGGCATTAATGTCATGACACTTAGACAATTTTTTGAAGGTGGAAAAGTGAGGAATTCAATGAATGAGTTAATGTTGAATGATGGAATGAGTTAAGGGTTGTTGGAGTAATAAATAGTTAAGTTAAATGAAGACTTGAAACAAGTAAATTGCATAAAAATCTCTTTGGCTTTTCTTGGTATGGGTTTTGGCCATGTGTAGGCAATTTAGGGGAAATTGTGTAGTGTGAAGTTGAAGCTTGGATGATGGATTCTTTTGTAAAATATGTGTAGAATGGTGTCTTGATGAAGGAAAATCAAAGAGATTGTTGGTTGGACCATTTTGAAAATTAATGTCAAAAATGTGCATGGGAAAGTGTTGAAATTGTGATGTAGGATGGAGTTGTAGTGTTATTGAGGCTTAAGTCGTGTTGGATAGTATGATCAGAATGGAAAATGAATGATGAAAAATAATTGAAATAACCAATTGTGCCTTTTTTGTAAAATGGCCAAATTGTAGGCATGAAAAGTGTGGACCTTCACGTGTTTTGGGAATTGCTTTGTCAAGCTATGTATTGATTGATGGTTGAGAAGGGAAAGAAATTGAAGGGTATCACTTCCCTTGTTTGGGAGTTAAAAAAATGGTAAGAGAGAAAAATACAGGGTTAATGAGATATTTTTACCATTTTACTTCATTTTTAAAATAAACATAATTATTATATTTTACAAATTAAATTAAATTTAAAATTTCTAATAAAATTATTTATGTACTTTTCACAATACTAAAAAAGATCATATTTTCGACGAAAATTTCGTTAGAAAATAATTTTTTCGTCAAAAAAATTTTTGTCGAAAAAGCGACGCAATTTTTTCTCCGTTAAAAATTTTCACAAAAATAAATTTTCTATCAAAATTTAGTTTTCGTCAAAAGTTTTGACGAAAATGATTTTCTCCATTAAATGTTTTAAACGGAAAAAGAATTCCGTCAAATATTTTGACGGAATGTTTTCTGTTCAAATTTACGATGGAATTTTGTTCTGACAAAAATTTCGACGAAAATTGTTTTGTCAAAAATTTTGAGGGAAATGTTTCATTCGAAACTTTCGACAAAATTTAGATTCTGTAACGAATTTTGACAGAATATTTTTTCTATCAAAAAATTTTATCGAAATATTTTTCATCAAAAAATTTTACGAAAATATTTTCTGTCAAAATTTTGACAGAAATGTGTTTTATTTAAAATTTTGATGGAAATGAGTTTTATCAAAAAACTAGACAGAAATATTTTTCGTTGAAAATTTTCGATAGAAGCTTTTTTTGTCAAAAAGTTTAACGAAAATATTTCTATCGAAAACTTTCGACAAAATTTAAATTATATAAAGAATTTTGATGAAATTTTTTTCGTCAAATTTTTTGAGGGAAATATTTTTCGGCAAATTTTTTTATAAATACTTTTTTTTGTGAAATATTTTGAGGGAAATGTTTTGACGAAATTTAGATTCCATAAAGAATTGTGACAAAAAAAAATTCCGTTAAAATTTTTTACATAAATGTTTTTAGTTACAAATTTTGAAGGAAATATTTTGCGTAGATAAATTTTGTTGGTATTTGAAACTTTTCTAATAATGTCACATTTAAAAATGATTCACATTTATGTAGTTTTCACATTTTAATGTTAAGGGTAGATAAGTAATTTTTTAATATTTTCCCCTTCAAACCCTCCAAATTGGGGAAACTTTAATTTTAAGAAGGAGGGTTTTGGAGCGTTTAGTAAAAACTAAAAATTCCTAATTCCTTCCCTCATTTTTTTTAAACTCACAAACAAGGGAAGAACTTTCTAAAACCCTCCCTTTGCTTTCCTTCCCCTCCTATAACCAACTCCCAAACAAAGCCTAAGGGTGTGCACAACAATCTTCTCAAAATCATTTTTTTTTTTCAATTTTTGTTCCCGAGAACAAAAATGAGATAGAAATAGATTTGACAAAACTGGTTTATTTTTTTCCCCTGAGAATTAACGAGTTCAATTTCTGTGCTAGGGAGCAGAAAAAAGAATAAATTTTTTTATGCTTTTTGGTTCCTTGTCACAAAATGAGAAACATTTATCTTTCTCAATCACTCTCCACCACTACCACCATCACCACCACCATCATCCCGACACAACCATAGCTACCATCATCGTACCACCGTCGTCGTCGTCACCACCATCACCACGATGCCACCACCACCATCACCACCACCTCTACACCACCACCACCATCACTATCGTCATGCTACTGTCACCACCACCATCTCTACCACCACTGCCACCATCGCCGCAATCACTGTCATCACTACCACCACCATTGTCGTCACCACCACCATCTCCATGCCACCGCCACCACCATCACTACCATCACCACCACCATCGCCGCAATAGTGCCATCACCATGTCACTACCACCGCCATTATCGCCACCATTACCACCTTCGCTGCCACCACCACCACCATGCAATCACCACCACCATCGCTACTATCATTGTCATCCCCACCAACACCATGCCATCACCATTACCACCACCACTATCCTCACCATTGCCACCATTACCACCACCATATCCCCGCCACCGTCATCATCATGCCACAACCACCACCACCACACTATATAAAAAGAAAAGCAATGATCGGAAAAAAATTGTGCTTAATAGAAATATTTTTATTTTTATTTATTGTGTTATGAAACACAATTCTCATTCTCGAAATAAAAATAAAACATATTATTAAACATATTTTTTTTTATAAACTATTCCAAAGTATAGAAATTGAAAAGAATTATTTCTTTTTAAAAATAGTACCGAGGGAACAAAATAATCGTGATGCACATTTTTAAGAAACTCAGTTCCTTTAAAACGTGGTTATGCCACTAACGAATCCCCTCTCAGCAAAGGAGCTCTAAATACAAGATAAGTATAAAACAAATTCAAACAATAAAAATTGGAAGTTCTATATGAGAGAGGACGGTCCTCCGGCACATTGCACCTTGGGGCTCATGAAACTTCTTTAGCTATTTGTGTTGATTTTATATTCATTAAAATGCGATTCTTATATTTAATTTAGCAAAAGAGTCGCCATTTTTTTTAGTCAAGGGTAAAAAGGAAATGATAACTTATGTCCTTTTTGATTTTGTTATTGAAAATATTTTTCTATTTTTAATAATTAAAACTCAGAATATTTTCTATTATTTTTAAAATTTATTGTTCATAATTTATTTTTAAAATAGAAATATAAAAGTATATTTTTAAAAGTGTTTATTTTTATAATTCTTTTTTTGCTGGTACTATATTTTTATAATTCTTTACTCTTACTTTAAATTGCTACCCTTGTCGTTTTGTATTATTTATTATCTCTTCGTTGTTATTATTGTCACTATCACCGCCCCACCGTTTTTTAGAACATCATCAGACTTTGATCGCTTATTTTGAAAACAATAATAATTAAATAATTTTATTTTTATAATTTTATTTATAAAACAATTATAAAATAAAATTTTGTAAAATAAAAAATGCTCCTATAATGAATTTTATTTTATTGAAAAACATTTATTAAGCATTATTGAAATTATTCTTTCTAAATTATAATTTTTTTTAATTTTTCTTTCGCGTCTTATAATTAATTTTAGGGGTAATTATTTCTCATTTTTAGGAAATAAATTTACATCTAATACAAATATAAAAGTATATAGAATTCATATAAGGAGAAGAGATTGAAAGATAAATATGAATCTCACACACACACATATATATATAAGATAAATTTATTTTTTACAACATAAGAAACATTAAAACTCTTAATTTTAAGGGAATAATATTTCTTATATTGCTGGAGATAATTTTGTTTCATATACATAAATAAAAGTTGAGAAAAGTATATGTCCTTCTAAATGATACTTATATATTTTAAGATAACAAACTATGGGAGAGAGAGGAGGAAAAATTTTATAACTAAAAAATTAAAAAAAATTAAAAAAAAAACACTATATTTATCTATAAGGATCATCCTTTTAAATGATATATATTTTTCCATAAAAATTTACCACCATATGTGAGGTCATGTGAAAGAAGTATAAAAAAAATAAAATATAAGATTTAGACACTTTCATATATAAAAAATAAAATTATCTTTTTTTTATATACAAGATAAAATTATTTATTATAAAAAACACTAATCCCTAATTTTAATACCCATATAAAATGACTTGGGAGTCTCAAGCATTTGGAGGAGTGTTTTAAAACCCGGCTCGGACCGGCCGGGTCGACCCGGAACTCGGTGACTCGGTGGGTTTCCCGGTTCGAGCGGGTAGTTAGATCGGTTATGCAGTCAGCCCAGATTGGACCGGTTGACCCAGTCGAAACTCGGCGACCCGGCAAACCGGTTGACTCGGGTTAAATCGGTTTTTCCCTTTTTTTGGTAAATTTTTTTTTTGTTGATAAGAACTCTTGAATTAAATCATATTCATATTTTATGATGAATATGATTAAAAGTAAGGTGAAAATAATAAGGTATTTTAGATTAGTGTAGTTCGTTTATGTAATTTAGTTGCATCTTATAATGATCTCATGAAGTTAAGTGGTGATAAACACTGATAGTCTCATGATCTCATCTCAACGGTCTAGAGCTAGAAGCTTATAAGTATATAATATTTGCTATCATTGAAAATCAATTTATTTTTTGAAGCTCATAGATAGTTTTTTTATGTGAATTTTTATTAATATAAGTAATATTTTTATATTTTTAATATGTGAACAGTAAAACTGGTTCAACCCGATTGAACCAGTGACCCAGTACCTCGACCTATTTGATGTCCGGTCCGAGTTTTGAAAGAGTGATTTGGAGTATCCACATTCCATCACACACACCAAAAGCCAAATCTATTTCTTATAACAAACACTATTCCCTAATTTTAATACCCATATAAAACGACTTGGGTTTACCTTTCAAGCATTTGGAGTATCCACATTCCATCACACACACGAAAAGCCAAATCTCTAGAAGTCTCAATAAATTGAAAACCAAAACCAATGGCCGCAGCAGCACCGCCACCGCCACCAACTCCGGCGCCTGAACCCTCCACAGCACTGCCGGAAACAACCCCATTAGGACACCCTCTGTTCACTCGCATCCGGCTGGCCACCATCATCGACGTGCCCCACATCCACAAGCTGATCCACCAGATGGCCGTCTTCGAACGCCTCACCCACCTCTTCTCCGCCACCGAATCCTCCCTCTCCTCAACCCTCTTCTCTGCCACCTCCCAACCCTTCCAATCCTTCACCATCTTCATCCTCGAAGTCTCCCCCAACCCCTTCACCGACACTCATTTCGCCAATGACCCTTTCTACATACCCACAGTGAAAGTTGTGAACTTGGACCTCCCCATTGATGACCCAGAAAGGGAAACGTTCAGAACACATCATGGTGATGATGTTTGTATTGCTGGGTTTGTGCTTTTTTTCCCAAACTATTCTACTTTTCTGGGGAAGCCTGGGTTTTATATTGAGGACCTGTTTGTGAGGGAGTGTTATAGGAGGAAAGGGTTTGGAAAGATGCTTCTTTCTGCGGTGGCAAAGCAAGCTGTGAAGATGGGTTATGGGAGGGTGGAGTGGATTGTGCTTGATTGGAATGTTAATGCCATCAAGTTTTATGAGGAAATGGGTGCTAACATCTTGCAGGAATGGAGGATTTGCAGGTTGACTGGTGAGGCTTTAGAGGCTTATGGAGGTGCTGATTGATTGAAAAAAGTTTTGGTTTTTATCATAATTTGTGTTGGAATTAGGCAACTTTTTACTCTCTTGGTTGAATTTGGAGTTTTAACTTTCCAATGTTGTTTTAGGGTGCTACTTATCATTTTAAATGGATGTTGCTGTTTTTCTGCTTCGGATTTAGTAAATGTGATTGCTCCATACTATGAAATTGTGGTTATTCTAGTTATTGTGGGTTAAATGTTAAGTTACTAAGTCTAGTGTATTAGTTTGCTCTATAGAAGAGCTTTGCTTATAGAAGTGTATAATAACCCTAAGTCAACAACATATCTCTCAACCAAAATTCACTTTAAAGAATCAATATTGTTTCCGCATCCTAAAAAAATTTCCGGGGAATATACAGAGTGTTGTAAATCATATTTATTGTAATACAAGCTTTTTTGTCTTCAGAAGTCAGGCCTTGTATTAAAGGAACAGAGATTATGACTAAACCTCTGTTTCCAGAGGTTTTGTTTTCCCAATCTGATTTACTCATTTTGATTTTAATTTTATTGGTGATGAAGCAAGAAACTCGAAGTGATGTTGAATAAAGTATTGTTCGCCAATTTCTCGAAGCCCCTAAGATGGAAGCATCTTGAGGCTTCTGTTTGGAATCAAGAAGAATATTTGTGTAAAGAAACAGGTCTTTTGTTTAATATTTGATGTCAAAATGTGGGTCAGTATTGTGTGCATTATAACACAAACAAATCTTGAATGCTTTAGACATATTCCTTGAGAAGCTAGTTGTAGCTGAGGTCGAAACAGTTTACCAAAGTCTCAACTTTCAAGAGATTTAGCTGAGGTATCAATATAAACATAGTTTGTTCCAATGGAACATGTTATTAATATTGAATAATAACTAACAATTCGACAAATTTGTTCTCTTGAACAATGCATGCAAGCAGCATTACAAGCAGAGAAAGGAATGAGGTTGATAATATCAATGAGGTTATGTATCTCCTCATGGATTAACAATTGGCTGTTCAATGATGCTCTAAATTTTACCTCCAAAAGTAATAGTCTATAATAGCGATTGGGTGAGAGTATGTATCAAATAATCATCTAATCTTCAAACCGAACCACTTGATGGGTATAGTAGTTTTTCTCAATGAAAGCATCAATGTAAGGATTGATAAAATAAATTAAGGAAGAGAAGACATTAAAAGAGAGAAAGAGAGAAATAATAAAAGATAATTTGAATTGTAGGGGTTGATAGAATAAATTAAGGAAGAGAAGACATTAAGAGAGGAAGAGAGAAATAACAAAAGAGAATTTGAATTCATTCCATTCTTCTAACAACGATTATATGGTTATATATATATAGGGAAACTACTGTTAAATGATACAAGGAATCTTAAAAGGAAGTTACAAGAATTACAAATACTAAAGCAAGTTACAATATTTTGTTTAAAAAGAACATAACTGTAACTAACTGCTAATCTGATTCACAACACCTTGTCCTCAAGGTTCAAGCTAGAATTTGAGACGATGGCGTGAAATATCAATTGGTGATGTCTGTGGAATAAATAAGATTAATTAGTGATTAAAGCTTGTGATTGTTTAGAAATCTATGAGCTGAAATCTGATTGGGTGGTGGCCTGCATGTCCTAGCCGTTGGGATAGTGTCTTTGGAACATGTGGGTGGCAATAACTGTTTCTAGGTGAGGTTCACGAAGAGGAATAGAATTTGTATCACATGAAGTAGACTCCTCCTCAGTTCCTTCCATGTATAAAAGCGAAGCACGCTCTTTACATTTGTGGCCATAGACATATTTTCATCACAATTTTAATAGAGGCCTTTATCTCTACGACTCTGCATTTCAGCAAGGGTGAGACGCTTGATGGGTATAGTGGTTATCGGTTGAGAAGATGATGTGGAGTTGGTTGTAGAAGGTAGTATGGGGAGTGCTGAAATAACAACAGATTGTGTTGAAAAGGGTGGTTCAGGTGCAAAGTGTGTCTGAGTGTTAAAATCTGTAAATTGATCTTCATAAACCCGTGCTAGTGCAAAGGCTTCATGAAAATCTTGGGGTCGATGGGTGAGCACCCGACGTGGAATCTGGGGTTTGAGTTCATAAATAAAGAGGCTTCGACGCAAAGTTGGAGAAAGGCTTGGAACCCAAATGGCAAGATTTTCAAAAGAAGATTGATACTCAGAGACGGTCCCCAATTGTTGTAATTTTGCTAAAGTAGTTCCTGGGTCATCGAATTATGATGGACCAAAGTGCCGATGAATGGCCTGCATAAAAGAAGCCCATGTAGGAAGTAATCCATCATTAAATAGCCCTTGAAACCAATAAGAGTAGGTTGGTCCAAGTGAAAAGAGGCAAGAATTAAACAGTCTGCTTCTGGTATGTGATAATATTAGAAATACTGATTCACTGCCAAAAGCCAATCTGTCGGATTACCCTTAGAAAAGCGTGGAAAGTCTAGTTTCAATGGTCGGGATCTAGTGTTCTCATATCCAACATTTTTATTTTGTGGTCCATGGGTTGAATTTGGACTGGCGCCAAGAATTCCATTAGTAGAAGTACCAATTGTAGAGGATGCATGGATTTCAAGCAAACTAAATAAATCTTGGCGGATAATATGAAATTGGTTTTTCTGAGATTCTTGAAGTGACATGTGGCCTTCCTAGAGTTGCATTTGAGATTCTTGTAGACCCAAAAATTGTTGTTCACATAGAAGTTATGCTGCATGGAATTGTTGCTCTAATTGTTGTAAGCAATTTGTGAGATCTTTGGATTGTGTATTTTTTGCCATTAGGAGGTTGAGATAGAATGAAAGCACCAATGTAGTGGTTGATAGAATAAATTAAGGAAGAGACAACATTAAGAGAGAGGAAGAGAGAAATAACAAAAGAGAATTTGAATTTATTTCATTCTGCATAACAACGGTTACATGGTTATATATATAAGGAAACTACTGTTAACTGATACAAGGAATCCTAAAAGGAAGTTACAAGAACTACAAATACTAAAGAAAGTTACAATATTTTATTTAAAAAGAACATAACTGCAACTAACTGCTAATCTGATCCACATCAGTTCAGGTGAGAAAGGTGAAATTTTTCCAAACAACATTTTGAACTTCAAACATCATATAAATGGCGGAGATAAAAAATAAATAAAAAAAAAACTTTGAAATTAAAACTAAGGTGGAGGTAAATTATAACTATAAAAAAAATCACTGGTGATAAAATTAACTACTAGAAAAGAAATTGTTACCATTATGATTCATGGTAAAAAGAAAAATTATTATCTATATGTATTTAAACAATTATAAGCATTATAATATGTAAAAAAAGTGGTAGTATGAATACCTCTTATTATACAATGATGTGCTGATAAGAATTCTTATGTAACACATAATAAAGTTTGTGTTTAAAAATTCTAATGTTGACTTGCATATTTTAGATGAAATATAGTATTTACGAAAATAGAAAAACAAATGAAATTGCAAATAAATATTTAAAACTATTGATGATTTTGTATAATTAAACATTTGCAATTTAAGTCAAAAGTGTAGCTTATAAAAGTAACTTAATAAACTGAACAAGGGTGTTAGTTTGTGAATTAGCAAGCTTGAAAATTATGAATTGATTATAGATATTGTAGTATATAGTTTGTGAATTATGAATTGATTATATATCTCTGTTATGGACCAGGATATTGTGTCTATATCCCAACAACGCAACAAATGGATAAGTTTACTATCAGTGATGGATAAAGGAACTCAAATCAAAATCCTAACAATAGGATAAGACCTCATAACAATCTCACAACAAACTGATTGGAGGCCCAACCAGGTATCCCATTATAAATAGGGGTTATCACCATCAGGTACACACCATTTAGCTCATTTTTTACTTCTATCATCACTGTGCATGTAATGCCCAGTCTTGATATCACGATTGGTTAGTGTGCAAAATGGTATATAAGCGCATAATACATGAAATAATTAGCGGAAGACTTCATGAAAGTCTCACCATTACACATTGTAATTTCGTGAGTTAACTTTTTCCTTATTATTTTCCTTTCTTGTTGCCATACAAACTATACTTATCTTATATCCATGAACTGCACTGCCCATACATGTACAAAATCATTACTCGAATTTCGGTGACCATAATCAATGATCAAAGACTATCCGAATATGATAACAAGTACCAATTCAGAAAAAGTCAAACGGACAACATAACGGCTATAAATTTGACAAATATAGGGATAAAATTGCACATTTTAACTTGTCACCTGAAATACAAAAATGTCCAATCCAATATACATGATTGAATATGGCTCCATGCCATTACAAATATCATATACTTGACTTGACCACATACACACATACCCATACATGCTGACTGAAACATGTCACTGAATAATTATGTACATGTTTGAATGATAGAATATGCATACAATGTCTAATCATGTATCTCAAAATAATAACAGGATATATACAACAATGTTTGGTCATACATCATGAACCAACATATATATATATATATATATAGTTTCCAAAAAGAAACTACGTGCATGCTTCAACTGAGTCCTCTAGCCCTGAACAGGCCTCTTGTCCTGGGAGGGTTCTCCTACTGCTAGAGTACCTGAAACATGTCCCCTAATGGGGTGTGATAAAAATTTCATAAAGTCAGGGTTTATGGAGTGATTCTATGTCCATGAGTTCACTTCCTACATGGAAGGTCAGATATCATTGTATAGTAATAATTCATATACAAGAAACTTCCAGGGGCTGTATCCCCTAAAGAAATCCCAACAAATACTCTTGAGAATCACAGTTCTCATGGAAGTCATACATTATAATCCAAAAGCTTGGTCCTTAAGGATCGTACTTCAGGAGTTGTATCCCGCAAAGATTGTACTAATAATTACCTCCGCAAACCTAAGTCCTCACAGAGTCATACATGATAGTCCATGGGTTGTATCCCTATGGACCATCTTCCAAGAGTTGTATCCCATTGGAAGATCACACATGTATGGGCTCACTAACCATGAACCATAATTCCACACATCACACCATAACATGAACATGTCCTATATGAATGCTACTATACTATGTATCTAACATTCATCAATCACATATACATTAAACCATAGTCCCAATGGACCTGTGGTGGAACAACAGAGTAAGAGAAGACTTTTAAACAAAGAGCTTACCTCTTAAAGCTCCTAAGCCAACACTTGCTTGAAGACCAAGAAAGCTATCCCCACCACTTTTCACTTGCCTTGTACTCCAAAAATCACTTATTTCACATAGGATATTGGAAACATGAATACTTGTCATAAATCGCACATTGACCTAATGGTCAAAATAACCAATAACTTATGGTTTATAAACTTACCATATCCTTAAATAAACAAGAACTAGGGCTTCCAATGCTTGATTAACTT